AGATCTCCATGGTTCTTAATGGCTACCATTAAAATATATATTTTATTTTATGGATGTTCCATAATTTATTTGATCAATCCCCTGTTGATTAACATTTAGGTAGTTTCAAATTTTTTATAATAAATGTTGTAATACATCTTTTTACATTTGGCACTTTATTTCCTTAAGAATTGAAAATGCTAGATCCATGAGTCTGCATAATCTTAAAACTTTTGTCTTAAAATTAAATATTTTGTCTTAAAATTAAAATATATATTATTGTCAAACTCTCCTCCACAAAAGGTCATAGTGATTTTGCTCTCAAGCTTTTCCTATACTGAGTGTTAATATTATTTTTAAGATCTTTTACATTCTGATAGGTAGGAAATGGTATTTAATTGTCCTTTTAATTTCCAGAATTTGATTACTAATGAGGTTTATCATGTTTTCATGTTTGTGGCCTAACATTATTTGTACATTTGTGATGTAACTATTCTATCTTATTCCTGCTTTTCTTCTGGACTATACATCTTATTATTATTGACTTGTAAGTGCTTCTCAAGGATTAAAAATATTAATCTTTTGTTTATGATATGTATTTTCAAAATACGTCTTTAGTCTTTTCACCTCGTTTATGCCATTTTTGCCATACAAAGTTTTTATGTAATCAAATTAATGCCTTTCGTATCATTCTTAGAAAGACATGCTCTACAATGAGATTAGTAAGAAAAAATTCTCCTATATTTTAACTATATTTATGTTTTTGTATTTTTCACTTATATCTTTAACCTATTTAGAGTTTCTTTTATAAGATTTAACTTAGAAATTTAACCACATTTTGTCCGAAATGGTTAGTTAAAATTCTCACACCATTTTTAAGCAGCCCATATTTTCTCCACTAAGTTCTCAGATATATTGTAGTCAAGTTCCAGATTTTATCTTCTGTTTGATTGATCTTTATTAGCTGTGTGATTCTGAGGTATTATTCAGGTTTTGTTGCGGTACTGCTGTGTAACAAACACTCCTCCAAATCTCAATGGTTTACAACAGCAAACATTTATTTCCCTCTTGTGAGTATCTGGGTCAGCTGTGACACTGCAGTGTTCTTCTGGATACAAATGGACTTTGCTCCAGGCTAGAGGTCAGGTTTATGACTATTCCACACTTCTCTTTTTTCCCCGCTGAAATTACAACAACTCTCTAGAACATATTCTTCTCATGATCGATGGCAGGAGTGGAAGAAGGCTGGCTGAAACTTGCCACACTTCTTAAACCTCAACTCAACACATTCCTTTTTCCATCCACACTACATAGGTCTGGAAATCACATGGCCCACCCTAAGTGAATGGGAATGGAAAATACATTGTCTCCACAAAGAAGGCAAGTAAAGGACCAGGAATGAAGAATTGTAAACAAAAATACAATCTACCACACCAAGTTAGTTATATTTTCTAAGTCTCAGTGTCTTCAGTATCAAATGGGATAATTGTGAAGATTCAATCATACAGATGATAAATGTCAAACATATTGTACCCGGGATTTAGTAATTCAATAAATGTGTACCTGCTTCCTAATAGTATACCACTTAAATTGCTCTAGCTTTGCAAGACATTTTAATATGTAGAAGGGCAGATTAGCTCCTACCCATCACTCTTTCTTTTAAAGGATTTTTTCTGACTATTCTTTTCCATTTTTTTCTCCAGATAGACTTTTGATTCCATTGCATGTGTTCATCTTCTTAATAAGTGAGGAAAATATCTTCTCAACCATACTACTTTTAGACTGATGAGCAAGTTGTTCCAAACTCTTACTAAGAGGAGGCTGAGGGATGGATGACTTGGAACCTGTAATAATCAACATATTTTCTGTTTATTCAAAAAATTCAAAACTATACTGCACCAATTTGCAAATAATATTAAATTAATTGGGATGGTTAGTATCTTGAAACAATAAACTAAAATTTAAATTAGGATAATGATCATATTAAAAAATGATGTTCAAAAAAAGTAAAGGCCAGGTCCACTCATAAACAGTCAGTGAAATATAGGATTGTACAAGAATGTCTAGGCAAAAAGCACAGAAGAAAAAGACTTAAAGGTCTATCTGCAGAATGCAAATGGTCCACAATACAGGTGAAAAACAATTTTTATGATTTCTTAAATAATTATAAATAGGCAAGGGACAATTTCTTCTCTGTATCTCTTTTTTTTTCTTTTCTTTTTTTTTTTTTGAGACAGAGGGTCTTGCTCTGTTGCCCAGGTTCGAGTGCATTGGCATCACGGTAGCTCACTGCAACCTCCTTGAACTCCTTGGTTCAAGTGATTCTCTTGTCTCAGCCTCCCAAGTAGCTAGGATTACAGGCACATGCCACCACACACAGCTAATTTTTTTTTTTTTTTAAAGAGGGGGTTTTGCTATGTTGCATAGGCGGGTCTGGAACTGGCCTCCAGCAACCCTCCTGCCTCAGGCTTCCAAAGTGCTAGGATTACTGGTGTGAGCCACCTTTACCGGGTCAGACATTGTTCAGTCTTAAAAGGCTAAGGTGTGACTTGATTTGTTTTCAATTGTAAGATTTGTTTCCAGAGAAAAGATACTGAACAGTGGTTCTATATGTCTAAATAAGAATAAAAAATTTTTATTTGAACAGTTTATATAACTATAAGGAAGCATTGTTTGTTAAGTCAAAGAAACACTAGAGATAAGGATCAAGACAGATTTAAAAATTTCTATTTCTATTTCTATTTTATAAGTAGGAGAAGAGA